TTACCTATACCTGATCATAACAAGAAATACATAACGGGTTTGCAGGGTCAACAGAGAATGCTTAATCCCCTATGGCAACTGATCCTACCTCTGGTAATGTTGAAAGGTTCGTTTCTGTTCTGTTCCTTATTTGCTGTTTTTGAAATTGATTACTGTTCATTACAGTTTGTTATTTTCATATTCAATTGAAAACTCCAAGATTAAAATTGGTAAACAATATGATCATTTTCCTCTTTGTAAATAAAAGTCAAAGAAATTCGAAAGATAATTAAACATCAGCTGTATACAATTTACCTTTAATAAGGTTTTGTATTAAATTAGCTTTCTGATGTTATTTTTCAAGGTTTCCTCAGACCAAATTAATTTGTTAAAGGTGAACATGGAACTTTATTAAAAAAAATTATGTTTAATCTTTGAAAAATCTTATTTCCATAAAGTTATCGTATCTTTTAACAGATTTTGAATAATACTTTATTCTTGAAAAAAATATTTTCATACTAGTTGGTAGACCATAATATTCATATGTACATCATAAATTGTCTACAATTTTTTCTGTTTACTAGATCATGACAAGGATCACACGGCGGGTGAGAGCAAGCGACAGGGGGTGCTTAATTCGTCTATTCTATGATACATGATCTCCTTTGATAATTTAAGAGGTCTGTTTTTCTTCTGCTACTTGAGCGTGTATAAGCCAAATTCTGTGCTATTCATCTGTAACTGTTGACATCTAAATGACTGAAATATTCTTGTAAGGGAGTAAAACAACAACCAATTATAAATACAGGTATACAATTTGATCCATTCACAGGTTGTTTAATTGAAATAAAATGCAGTTCTCTATCTCGATCCCTTTAGTACTGTGTTTTAAAAAGATAAGGACATAATTCAAATGATCAAAGTGACTACAGAATGTTGCAGTGCTAATTCATGGCATGCTAAAATTAACTTACAGAAATTAACCTTATTTGGTATACATCTCAATAACATATCTCATAAATAATAATTTAAAACTTTACAACTTTACCCCCTATATAGAACATCATTATCAATAGGTTAAAAGACATTCTTCTTCGTTGAATATTGACAGGTATCCAAGGTATGATTAATTGTAGTTTCCATGTCTATGATGTGAGTTCTTTTATCTTTATTCTAAGATGAAGCATAAATTATTTTTAAAAAGGTATCATTAGATTCAAACTATGTTCAATATTTAGCTTAATTAGAAAGGAAAAGTACTTTCTAAACTTCAATGTCAATATGAAGTCATTTTCCTGTGAAACATTACTTTCTCTGAAATTTTCCGCTGCAAAATCATGGTCTCTGCTTGATTGATTTTCAAATTTTGATTCATCTCGATCTTCTGTGTAAATAAATTAAACAGAAAAATGAATAATAGATATTTTGTGTATAATTTTCTGTTTGTTTTCTTACATGTAGGTGTTATGTACATTCAAACATTTCTTCTTTTTTTCATAACAGTCCATCGAATTATAACTTCAATCTTCTTTATATAAATAATTTTTTTGTTTAAATTTAAATTAATAAAATAAATTTTAAAAATAAGATCTCATGAAAATAATTAGAACGATTATTATTTAATATATCTTATTTACGTATACGTACATGTCTTATTTTGTATATCGGTAATGACTTGCCCCTCAGTAAGACATTAAAACATGGTGCTTTGTTGAAAAATAATATATATAATAATGTTTAAAAGATTTTTTTTTCTTAGAGTCACTGTTTTATTTTTCATTTTTATGTTTCAATGTTGCATTCTAGTTTTTTTTATTTACATTCAAACATACATGCTTACATTTGTAACTTTCATTATGTTAGATTAAGTGAATTTAAAAGGAAATACATAAAAAATATGTTGCACGCAAAACTAAGCAATAAAAAGATACCAAAATGCGGAAAAATACACATTTCCGTTCGCTGTATTTTCCCGATTGTTGAGAGTTAAAATAGTCAGGAAATCCACGACTTGTTTCCTAATCAACCTTGTAAATCAACGAAGAATAGAAGCAGCAACCCTACCACGAGTGTGTGTGGAGATTAATACATTGGGTGATCGAAAGACGACTGGCGTTATTAGATGAGAGCACGGCTATGGCGGTAATTCGTGCTATGCGAAAATGATGAGAGTAGATTGCTTCTTAATGGTAATTGATCTGCCGATCGCAGTACAGATAGAAGGAATTGACTGTCTGTCTTGTTTGAGTACTGAAGGTTAGGGGAACTATGAACGATAAAAATTTCCTATCGAAAGAGCTATTTTAACTATCTAGCTTAACTTTTTTCTATATTGGATATTTTTTTCGTAAGAGGATTAACTACATTTATATCGGATAGCTGGTATGTTGAATAAATTCATTACAAAATCATAATCCTTTCCTTTGAAGTTTAAACAATAAATGTAGACCAACTGTTTATTCAATATAACTAGAGATACGTCATTCATGTATTAGTTAAGATTAATTAAAACTATATGAACGAGCCAGCGTGAACGAGACTGTAAGAAGCAAACAAAGCTTAAGATATCTCAAGTTTCTATTTTAGAATCAATATTTCATTTTCCCCAATCTTAGCATATCTTGAGATTAAGTGTAACTTTGTTCTTTAGTTGTGCAGTTTATTGTTTCATGTCACTTGTTAATTAGTTACTATGACATCCTACCAAGAAAAGAAATAAGCTTTTAAGGACAGATGATACAAACAAATTTTTTCTTTGAAAAAGATCAAATATCATGCTTTTAAGCTCTCTGTGGAATATCTAAAAGACTTGGAAAATATTAGTAATATTTCAATGAAAAAACAAATATAGCATTTCAGTAAAGGTTTACAGGTGAAAATTAATTTCAGATATTAATTTTATTTAAAAATCAGCCTATGTGATATTGCCAATTTTTTGTCAATTTTACTTTTATATTAACTTTTAGAACTTAAACATTCCACTAATATTTTCAAACATTTACGTTTTGCATGAAAAAATGCTTTACTCTCTAGCTCTCTCGAAACTTTTGAAAGATATTATTTTCATCCCGGCTTTAATTTTACTTTTCAAGAACTTAAACATTCCACTATTCAAACATTTACGTTTTGCATGAATGCTTTATCTTAAAACTTTTGATGGTGTATTCTTAGATGTATATCAAAACTTTCGAAAATATTTATTTTTAAGAAGGGATAATTGGATTGCATATAATATTAGAACTTTTCAATAACATTTTTGCATCAGACTGCTGCAATGTGTTTTCTTTTATCCAGCAAGATCCATATAGCCTATTATGGACAATTTGGCAAACATAAAGTAAATGATTAAACCTTTGTCTTCAATTTGAACAGTTGCAGAGGTACTCATTTCAACATACATGTGCCCCCTTGTTCCACATGCTTTTCATAGATATATATGATTGCTATGATCACTATTGATATTGTTTATTTGATTTTAGAATATTTACTATTCCTTCTCTTCACATTCAACTTAAAAATGATTTTTAAAAAGAAACACGTTATAATTACATTGTCTATCTCGCACTGAATTCTTATATGTTCATGTTAAATAACACTCAGCAACCTGTCAAATGTAAAATACATACAATGCACTTACTTCAAAGGAAATTAAGTTAGATTCATAGTTTTTATATCATTTTCTCAAATGTTGTGAAAATAATAAAGGAATTAATCTTTCTTTATTATTTTCGTTTCATGACCTGATAAAATAAGGTACTTACACTGTATTCTATGACAGGTTTCCTGCGTACGCGTGGCGCAGAGATTAGAGTGTCTGATCTAGAGTCTCAATGTAAGAGTTGATCCTTGCGTCGCGGGTTCGAATCCCACTCTTGGACTCGTGTCTTCGGATGAGACCTTATGAACCCAGATTCCATTTCGCAGTAACTGCTTGCACGAAAAAGACCCCTCTCTTTTCAATGACCGTTCGTGCGGAGTATAGGAAAAAATTGCAATTCTCTAGTAGCAAGTTGTGGCCTCTCAATATGAGTGAAAATTTCTCGAGAGGGACGTTAAAAAACATACAATGAACCAATCAATAAACTATGATAAAAAATGAGAAAAGATATAAAAGAAAACCAAACAAATTAATGAAGCATTTTATGGGACATTTTGTTTAATGGATATTGTGGATTTTCTTCTGTTTCATCTAGCAAAAAAATACAAATTAAAACACACAACTTTGTAAACAATCTTTTAAGAAATAACATTGAATAACAAAATGAATAGCCCACGTGGCGCATTGGTTAGAGCGTCTGCTATTTGAAAGTCGCCTTAGAGTGTCTGCTAATTTAAAGGTCTTGATCCTAACGTCGCGGGTTGGAATCCCACTGTGGACTTGAAGACCGGTACTTTAAATGAAACCGTATTAACCAACATGAAGGTCCCTTCGTATAGGGCATCATTGGGGCTACATTCTAGCACGTAAAAGATCCATCCCTACTAAATGACCCTGAGCACAGAGTATACGTCAATATTTTCAGCACTCCACCGGCAAAATGATGGTGACTCCGTATGAAAAAAAAGTCTTGAGAGGGACGATAAACAACAAATAAACAAACAAAATATATACGATGGTTTTGATTGTGGGTTGAATACATGTATGCATTTTTAAAACGAAAAATTAATAAAGGATTAATGATAGACTTGAGTTATATCAATAGTAATGACAGTTAAACTGGTTTTTTAAAATTCTATAACGTTCCGTTAGAAAAACCTTTGCACTTTATCTGTAAACTTATGTTCCACATTCTTTCAATAAATTGATAGATGAAAATATAAGTTTCTTAAATGATCTTTTTATTAACTCACAGTTGTATCTTTAACATGAGAAGTAAATATTTTCTTTATCTATATATACACAAACGTAGGATAGTTTCTGATAAATTGATGTAAAATGCACATTGAAAGAAAAGATATCATTAAGAGAATGTAAAATATATAAATATGTATTTCCTTTTCATTTCATACCTAACAGTTGGTCGATTGCGCATGTTTATCACTTATAAGACAATGGGTCAGAACTTATGCAACTGGAGTCCATGTGATATGGAAGGAAAGCGTGATGTATTTAACCCTCAATACCAAAGCTAGGAATGTTAGCGACTGGGTCAGCTTTATACAGATACAAGCGATGAGCTGTTATTTCCGATAAATAATTCCCAAGCGATAGGCCACAGGAACGAAGGATAGAGTGAAAAGGATACTGGAAATATAATTATTTATAAAGTTGTTTTTACTTCTCGACTGTTAAAGCTAAAGAGTCAGGACATAGAAAAAAACATTGAAGAAAAGCTGGAAGGTTGATATGAATAAATCATAAATCTATTACAATTGAATATTTAAAAATCATATCTTTACGAAGCAGTGAACTTGACACTAAAGTTTCATAACTTGTGTGGAAAAAAGAATTGGACAATACTTAACGCTCATTCAAAAAAGAAAAGGAGGAATATTATCCGTATTGATGAACTTGCAAAATGGAGAAGAAGAGCGTACTTTTTGAAAATGATTATTTCAAACAGATTCATGCATTGTTTGAAGGGATTTGTTATGATGAAGTAATATCTAAGCCACCGCCAGCAGATGGTAAGTTGAAGTTTAATGCACACTCCTTAAACCAATATGAACTGCATTTTTCAGAATTTTATTTTGGTTGTTAAATGTGATATTATGATTAATTTGTATTTAATTTAAATCCTTATGACCAAAAAGACAAAGTAAAAATCTTAAAAAGTTTCAGAAGAAATATTTCTGTCCAGTCGAACATACTGTATTATAAAATAAGAAATCTCTAATGAACAGGACGACAATAATGTCATTTTGCTTGAATCAAAACTTTTAAAAAGTTCTTCCATTGCAAATATGAACAACAGAAGTTTATAAATGTTATATTTTCCTTTCTGAAATAATTATTTATAAATTTCCCACATAATTTCCAATTGCTTTAATAGTAATTCTGAGATAAAAAATAAAGCTTAAATAAATCTTAACTTGCAAAACAGATTAAAACGTTCCTTGCTGTTTATGATCATTTTAATTACTGACAAATTGATTATGGTTACAGTTTCAAACGTGTGAATGACCCTTTCTGTATTTGAAATTATAATGTCTCTTTAATTGTTATAAAAATCATGATTTTTTGTCTTAAATTTTATCAAAAATGTAAAAAAAAATCAAAGACCTCTTTATGTAAGATTGATCCCAAAGAAAACAAAACAGCTACAAGGATCAATACTGCATTTTGTTACATCCTTTTGATCTCTAGCGTAAAGCATATTTTTCGCATGTTTCAAATGGGCTCAAGCTTAACTTGTAATCAATCGTAATATTCAAGTCCTGAAGGCCACATTAAAGCGGTGTTTACCTACATCGTGCGTAAGATAAATATATCGCATGTCAATCTAAGATAAATCGTATTCCAGCAACCCACGTAGGACGACATATCTTATCAATTTTACGATACACTACAATTCATGTAATTTGGCGTTTTTGAATGTCATAATTTGCATATTTTGATATTTTTTAATCATTGTATCTCAGAAGCTTGTCTTCAATATCATGGCATGCATCAGAAACTGTGCGTCTGACACATACAAAAATCTTTTATCTTTTAAATAATAGAGCAAATCTCTATCATGCTGACAAATTTGGGAAGTGTCGAAATATCCCTTCAAAATCTGATGGTGAAAAATAAATTTAAAAATTACTAGAAAATGGCTTTCTAGGCATCTAAAACTTTTATCTCTGGTAGAGACCTTTAAAAAATATGTCTTTGAGAAGGTGGATATTACATTGTTTTTTACTGTTACGTTAATCCTAGTCTTAATATTTGAGATTTCTTTATCGATACAAACAAAAGATTTGTCTCAAAAAAGTTTTAGGGAATTTTCATAGACATTTTATGGTCATTTGCTATTTTTCAAAATAAGAAGCAATTTATGCCTCTGATCAAATTTCCTAAAGAATTTTGCCTCTTTTTAGTACTTAATCACGTTACAAAACCAGCTCAATTTATAAAAGTTTTTAAACTACTTTATTTCTTAGAGTTTCCACACTCCCTGAAACAGCTTTAGTGTGATACTTATAGGATATATGTGTGTGGATGTTAGTCTCATTCCAAGTATCCAAACACTGGCGACCGATACAATATAGTTGGATGGACATTTCATGTAGTAAACAACCCTACAATACTGACCTATGACATACCTGCCATGTCATATTAAGATAAAGAATGTAAGCAAATTAGTCGACAATCGTATAAATTTGCAACGTTGGCTTTCCCGGAAGCCTGAAATGTCATCTCATAGGCTTTACATGTGTATTAATCGCATAAAATACACTGATGCATATTTAACAGTTTTTACAGGCATGTATTTTTGTGAGGGTGTGGATAGAAAATATATAGGATCTCAAATGATTGCTGACTGGATATGATTTTTATCCAATATGTATCTTTTTTTTATTACCCGAGCCTTGTCGAGTAAATATGGGATCTCCAATGATTTCTGGTTGGATAAGATTTGTTTATTCTATGTTTTACACATATCTTAAATGTTTTACACTATTTATATATACATTTAGGAATCCTCTTTATTTTACTTAGTAATTTTCACGAAAAATCCTATGCGACAATCAGTGATATCTACGGAAAAGGGGTAAACATGAGATAAAAACAAACCAATCCAAACAAATATTTACTATAGTTAACTTTAGTTTACCAAATTTTATAGTACTTATCAATAGTAAATAATTTGATACTTTCATTTGATTAGAAACTTTACTCTCAGCTTTTTCGAAGTTTTAAACCTTGAATATTCTTGAATTTCATACCGAATGCCCGTAGTCAACACCTAGGGATATTTCATAAGATAATTAAAGACTTGTTTCTCTCATTGAAAGCACCAATCAAATCAGAGCTTTCTCAAATAGTTAGATAGTGTAAACAAAAAGGATTAAGTTGACACCTCAGATGCACGTGTTACAAGTTTTTATCATAGAATGCCTTACTTTAATTGGCTAAGAAGTAAGAAACACAGTAAAAAAATAAAATTTTGTAATTTTTCCAAAATACATCTCTTCGGTTAGCCATAGGTCCAGAGACAACTTGTTGACTCATGACCCCCGGCTTGCGAGGATTATACCTATGGTGTACATTTTACAATAATATGTTAATATAAATGTACCAGTAAAACCGTTTTAATGTTAGAAAATTTGCTATAGAATTTAATAGTATAGAATGTAACGATCTGAAAATCTTAAAAATTATACATGATAAACTATACTTATACCTTTTCTACAATAAAAACTTTGATACTTTACTTAACTACAGTAAATTATAGGTAGCCATGATAGTTATTTTTTGTTACAGAAGGCTTGCTTTGGATTTTTTAAATACAACCAGTTCTAAATGAACATTTAAGAATTTGTCGTGTAGCACATACATGTATATATCATCATTGACTGAGTCCAGAAACAACAACAGAAAAAAGTTAAAATGCATTGTGTTTTTTCTATTGATACAGTTTTGTTTAACATGATTCTATATGGTTTGCTTTCATGCATATTCCTTTGGACTGATTTTAAATGATTTTAAAAAGATAAAGGTTTTAGGAAAATTAAACTCGGTGCAGCCTTTAAAGACGTAAAATTATCAGATTATAAAAGACTTACATTATCTGAATAAACTGTAGAAAATGTGTTGAATTTTGAACAAGTGATGCCTTGGATTTCATTACAGTTAATCAATTTTCTTTCTGCATGATACATGTTTTTCGCAAATCGCGAAAAAAGCACAGGCTTAGAATATAAAAAAAATCGGCTAATCATCAAAAATACCTTAAATTGCAATCTGAAAGAATCTTTTCAGAGCTGGAATAAAAGTAAATAATTTAAATTTAAAAGAAATCCCCACGTCTTCGAAAAATGTTTAAAATTCGCTGTATGTAAAATTATGAACCTGATAAACCAAACTTTAAATCCATTGCTGTATATTATTTCAATATTTCATTAATATAAAAAGCTATTATCTTATAAAAGTTGCACTTTGCCCTCATCTAACCAGATGTGGTTTCATGCTGATATATTCTTTTTGCTGTAATAAGCATTCAATCTTCAAAAAAGTGATTTGCCTGCACCACACTGGAAGCCAATTTTCAACACAAGATGAATACAAATAGATACAAATTTCTTTGAAAATCAGTCAAATATTTGATAGTACATAAAACTGGTAATAGTGAACATAAATCAAGCTTTAAGTCCACTGAACAATAAAAATTGGGAGCAGAACAAATACAAATCTCTAAAATATCAGCGTTGTAATCAGGTGTCATGGAATAGTAACAATCCCCTTTCGAAAGGACATATTCACCTTTTGTAAGATCGGGTCACAAAAAACATCCGACACATCCAATAGTAAATTATATAATTTTGGATGTAATGCCTCACCTGATTGCTCAAATTTTAATTTATATTGTTTAATCTGGACTACCTACTTTACAAACACGCGGTTTATAACGCCTTTAACTGCACCAACCCAGGTTATACAGTATAACTTGGGAAGGTAATAAACACCTTTCTTAATTTATGTCACGCCATAACTTTCTTTTCAATCCTTATGTGAACAAACTTTTAAAATATTTTCCACTTTGAAAAGAGGTTAATTGGTGTGTACCTGTGGATTGCTCGGTATGATGGTTGCTTGACGAATTGTTTTCTCTTTGGAAGTCTCTGCTTGACAGGGTGAAACGTTTCTTACTGGTACATCCATATTTAAGTATATGATCTTGCGAATAGAAATTAAGTCAACTTGAAGGCTCAAACTACTCTACACATAAAATCATGTCTTCACGACATAGTGAAAGTCATTTGCTTGACAGAAAACAAGCTTAGTACATCTTTACGTTCTCAGTTGTTTATAAACTTTGATGATATCCAAGTCAGACATTTTTCAAATAAATCTCAAGTTAATCCTGTTCATATATTTCATTTATGATTGTGACCGTGCGCAGAAAACTTTCAATCACTCATGGTCTACACCTAAAAAAAAGTGCTGTTGATATTGAAGTTAAGGAATCTGCGGAAAATTATTTGAAGATAGGTATTTTCAATTGTCCGTTACATGTTCCCAATTCAATTTTTCATACCTAAACTGTACGGTGAAAGCATTTTAAAAAATGTGTAACGTACCAACAGGTTGACAAACAGACAGAAAGACAATTGAAATAAACATACAGCCAGACAATGTACACCTCATTATAGTATATTCTAACCAGGGGGTCGTAACATAAAGTCTACTCAAGTTTAAGGTCGTACTTAAGTAGGTTTAAGACATACTTAAGTAGTACTTAGGCAGGTCCTAAGATTGTGCCTAAAACGTACTTATGACCTTACTTAAGTCAAAAACTTAGCAAGCTTTATGTTACGAGCCCCTGGTCTCTGATCCGAAGAGCTAACAAGAAATGTGAAGGATTCCTTTAAATATATTTCAGGAAAATTGTATTGTTCCCCGAAACATGACGATTTTCTTGGATGCTGGAATTACACGGAGGCGGGAACAACGGCCACAATTCCTTGTCCGGAACTTCCCGGATTTCATAAAACACGTAAGGGTTTCCGAAGCATTATTCACTTTCTTTTTGATGCAAGATATCAAGTAAAAAAAAAAAAAACAATCATGATAATTTTGATTGTTTATACATATGATTATTATTATTTATTTACATTTTTCAATGTATTTAATGTATGGTGAAAGCAAAAGTAAAAAGCATCGCTTTCCTAAAATTATTAAGGTTTATAAATATTCTAAGGATTGGTTTTATATATTTCGAACATTTGATCTATCCTTGGTGATCTGAAGTATATGAAGCTGTTGTCGCCTAATAAAAAGATAATATGTAATTCATATCGTATATATTTATTTGAATGTCTGTCAACTTAAAAGAGATAAACATCCCATTTTTTTATGTTCTGCTTGATAAATACGCTATACCAAACCTCCAAGAGCCTTGAAACATAAAATATAAGAGCACTCTCCCTCCATCACACACATGATTAAATCTCTTTCCCTGGTTAATTGGCCAATTCTCTCATACACTTGTAAACACAGAAAAAATGAATGAAACCGTGTTACAAGCCTTTCATATAAAACATTCTATCCTATTCAATTCAGGCTCGTAAATTATCTCTAACGATACACGAGGTTTGAAGCACATCTCTCTCCTGTAGTTACATCTGTGTTTATTCTTAATGTAGTTAATATATTTGGCAATATTTCCTTTACTGTAGACGGTTGATTCTGTTGCACTTTAAGGTTTATTAGCAAAAAGAGAACCGGCATTCAGGTTTATCAAATAACGTCTTCAATAAATTCCTTTTTATTGCTACTCTAACAATTATTTGGATGGAATATTTTATAAGCCAATTAGCACCTTTTGTACCCTTATTTAGTTTTTTTTTCGTACAACCAGAAAATATAAAAAGGAGGAAGTATTCAAGTATGATTGGCTTACTTTACTTTTTTGTGGAAATAGGGATGAATATAAATATAATGTTCGCGTTTGCTCTGCTCCATTTTTTGAATGTTTAATTGACTTTTGTGCTGGAATACTGTTTGTTATCTCCACATATTTCATTCAATATCGTTATTCGATTGCTCTAAGTTTGATATTGATAATATCTATTAAAAAAATCAAAAGATAACTACAGCATTTTATTAATGAAATACATATAAAATCTTTAAATTAAGCGTTGCCAATCATTATTAAAATGTACAATTTCAAGGTTACGCAAGTGTAAATGTAAAACATTTTCAACATTACCTGTTTAGGTATATGTAATGATCGGGCTTATTCACTTTTAATGCAATGTAATAATAATTTTTAAAAAATCGTTTTACAAATAATAAGCTTTTTCTTATTTTCCGATTTTATGAATTTTTTACATAAATCTTAAATTTGAATATTTGTCACTATTGCGTTTCCTTTGATATGCTTGTTTAGTTTGCTACATGCAAAACTTTCACAAGCCTTTAAACAATAAAAATTGGAGCACTTTTCCTTAAATTACACGCATAATTAAATTCCTGTCTGTGTTTAATGGCCAGTTCACTCACACACTTGTGAGCACAAGAAAAAGAAATGAATGAAAACATGTTTCAAAAATGCTTTCAGAACATTCTATCACATTTAATTTATAATTCATTTTTGGTCATAAATTGAAATAACTCTAAATAAAAAGCACATGATGTTTGAAAATCGCCTTTGTTCACGTCAAGATATGATTTTTATTATGTACATGATTAACTGTATTGACAATCTTACACTAACTGTACGCAAAAACATAAGATTTATAAGCAAAGACAAAGCAGGCATTAAGGTTTATAAAATATCGTCTTCAATAAATCTCTACTGTTATAACAAAACTGACAATAAATTGGATGGAATATTTTATCAAACAATTATCGCCCTGGGGAAGTTTACTAATTATTTTTGGTCAAATCAGAAAACCCAATAGAGGGAGTATTTAAGGATAATTAACCTAATGTAGATATATTTTATGAAATTGCCGATGAATCTAATATAAAATAAATAATGATAATCCATTTGATGAGAATACAGCTAATATTAAATCAAACATTATTAGATTTTGATGCTACATGTTTTGCATTCCTTTAACTAAGTCTTGGAACACTTTTACATATTAAAAACCAACTGTGTTGACACACTAAATAGAACAAATCTTCTTAGAATCAAGAATACATGTAACATAACATGATAAGGATGAAAAAGAAAACCATTGCATTTTATTCAACCTCCTATATATTTATGCAGCATCTTCTTTTAACAACAGAAAAAGTATATTTTGAGTGCACTAAGAATGGAACGTGGTTTGTTAATCCTGACACGGGAAGAGAATACGCTGACTATTCCAGGTGTAGAAACTACGAGAATGCCATAAAGGTATATTGTGTTCATTAAATTAAGAAAAAAATCGATAGAATTATGTTTCAATCAATTGAAAATCCTGTGAAATCACTAATTTTCGTGGGGGTTTATTTTCGTTGTTTTCGAGGTACTGAGAGGCCCATGAATATATGACCAACACAAAATGTAAATTTTCATATACATTACTTACTAAACATTCTCCAACCACGAAAGCAAATCCCCACAAACCAATATTTTTTCCCAAAACCTCAAAATTGACCTCACGAAAATATGTGATTTTACAGTATTTTGAATTCCGTAACAGAATTCTGTACATTTTGTTTCTTGGGAATTTCGCCAACTTCAGTTTAAGAGACAAATACGATAGTGTATTTAAACAGGTTATCTTTTTCTGTAATTTTGAGGGTACTTAAAACAGACTTAAGTGTTTTCATACTTTATATGTTTGAGCAAAAGCTAAGATCAGAGACACATGCTATTCTCAATGTCAAAAAAAAAAAAAAAAAACTTTGTACACTATATTTTTAAATCTGAAGTTACAGTGTTATATTTGTCTTTATGAATTATTGCAGGAATTGGACGAAGATCTTATTCACATCTACCTGACTATTGCATTATTTTGCCTCTCTTTAGTGATGGTCACCATTTCTCTCATCATATTCTTCAAGTTCAGGTAAAACACATCTATGATATTGAGGTTTTTGAGATTTTATGAAAATGAAAGAACTGTTATTTAGGCATTTTTCTTTAATGTTGTTTTTAAATATGAATCTGCAATTAATAGAATATCATTATCTTTGAGCAGGAAAGTGTAACTATAATCATAAAAGGTGATCTAGTATTTAAGGAATGTTAGTTTTTGAGTAAAAGGACAGATTCTTCATGTTTATAACTTAAAACTAATAGATATTTTCATTTTCAATGAAATATAAATAAATGGTTATCAGAAGAGCTATAGTTATGAAGTTGAGCATTTTAGCTCATGTGCATCTTGTTTATAATGCAATTATATCATATTTCTTATATTTTTCAGACAGTTACGGTGTGACAGAATCACGATTCACAAAAACTTGTTCATTTCGTATCTACTTACTGACCTGATTTATCTTGTGTATCTTTCAATTGTTCATTTTCTGGAAGAAGTCGTCTTGCATAATCCGGTAGGTTCTATATTAATTAATTAAAAAATTAATCAGCATGTTTTGTGCAAATGTAATTCTTTTGATGGGTATTGAATCAGTAAGAAGCAGAAAGAAAAGATTAATTACAATGTACTTTTTTGTTAATTATGTTGATTTCTATGATGATACTTTTTCATCTTGAGAAGTCTTGACAAGTAACACAATTCAGGAGACTTTAATTACCTGTATCTCTGATAAAATGACACATTACTTTTAGGTATGGTGTCAAATCCTTCACGTTGTGACGCAGTATGCTATCGTCTGCAACTTTGCCTGGATGTTCTGCGAAGGACTATATCTTCATACCGTGATAATGAGCGCATTCACTTCCGGCAAATCTGTCATTATTGCGTGTCTAATAATTGGTTGGTGTACGTATCATACACTTTTGGAGGGGTTTTTAAAATTGAAATTCTAATTTCCTCAGAATTATTTTTGGACTTAGTATGAATTTTATGAAAGAGTTGGAGGTTAATATTTTCCTATAGCTTTTGAAAAAGCATCCATAAAGAATACATGTTACACACGAAAAGAAATCGAGATTGCAGATTTTTTAAAAATAGTGTAAGACAAAAAAAAATCAATAGATAAATTGATATTTTTTTTTGTTTTATTCACAAAAGATTTTATACATATTTATTTCTTTTTCTCCCAATTTGCATATTTTTATTATCTTTATAGGTGTCCCACTTTTGTTAACTATAACCTATGCAGCAGTACGAGCCTCACTGAACGATAACACAATTGCGTATGTATTATAAAATTAATCTTCTTATGACAAAATAATAATATATTGATATTATAATAACCGTGCGTAATATATTAAGCACCACAACCAACTACCAAAGAACGTGTTTCCACGAGTACTGATTAAAAAAAAACTACACAATTACTTGTTTTATTCATGCATTTCAAAACAGAATGTCTGATAGTATCAGCATTATATTCTTATAGCCAAGGAATTCAGTACAACCTCAAATACGACATATTTATAGCACATTCTGGATATTAGTTATGACATTATTGTGTTTACTTCAGGTGTTGGAGCAGTGAAAGTAGTTACTTATGGATCTTGTATGCACCAGTGGTTCTATCAATGGCGGTAAAAAAAAATATCTAAATTTACTTTTATTTTCTATTTTGTCATTTTATCATTTTGATCAACAACTTATTTCTTTTGAGTTATTTAGCAAAATGATCGTAAAAATGACTCTGAAGAAAATATTTTAGATCAACGTGGTCTTTGTTATCAACATTATGCGCCTTTTGATAACAAAACTAAGACAGATACCAGAAGTTGCCCAGACACGGTAAGTGGTAAAACTATTATTTTGTAAATATATCCACTTATAAAAAATTTTGAAATTCCGCTTATTTTGAAATAGAAATAAATCCCCAGTTTTTGCCTCTCATATTCTTTGCATTAAAATAACGGTTATATTGAAATCGGATATATTGAAATTTCGCTTATATTGAAACCACTGATCGCAACAGGTGATAATGTTGTTTTCATAACGGTTATATTGAAGTACTGTCATTACGGTTGGTGGCAATAATTATGCTTGATTGACCAGGTGATATACAAAGGTGTGAATAATTAAGTTTTCAATGTGTTTTTATAGTGCAAAAATTCTTCACTGTTAAATTCTTTGCGTCCATGTATATAACACGGACATATCGAGGCTAAACGTAATATTATACATGTATTTCATTAAAATTAAATACGTGCTGTTAATGGCTATTGATATGCCTAAATTCGAAATAACTAAGGGATTAACATTTTGAAATATTCAGTTAGTCAACCGTTTTAGTCCGGTGAATTTTCTCCAAAACGCAACTAAATACAATCAGGGAATAATAATGAGGTTGAAGATTGTCTTTTCAATGTAACAGAAATAAAAAATATTATTATATAGTCTATTTATAATCCCTATATAATCTGTACATGCGCAACCAGTTCATAACACTACATATTCACCGGATTTTAGTCCGTATTCACCGGAGGTTCAATGCGCGTGCAACGGCATTGTGACGTCACAATCAAAACCTGAAACAACGTTGTAAACAATGGTTGCAACTGCCGCAGCGAGCTACGTATCTGAGGAGGAAAACGCTTATTCAAACCTTTTTCAGGATTATTTTTTAACATCTGGACGTACATATAGCCAAACTTTACAAACAGTAATCTGGAGATTTTTTTTTATTTTCAACAATGGAAGATCGCAAATGAAAATGTTGTCATACAGCCTTGAATGTCTTATCTTTTCAAATCCCGACTATATAATAAAACAACTATGGACTCTTTTGGTGTTAAATATGGTTTGTTATTCACCAGAAAAATATCCATATGGCTTCGCCTCGGTCAATATGATATATTTACAGCTTTAATATTTAAACTTTCAAGGACTCATATTCTATGTTATCTGTTCACTGTTATAGATAGACGAGAATAAAGTTAATTTGTTCGGGTTTGTTCTTTTTTATTTTAGATCGGGATTGAACTTGTAAAAATGGCGGCTTCATGATTTCGCTTATTTTGAATTACGGATATATTGAAATAATTTGCATGGTCCCCTGAATTTCAATATATCCGGAGTAGGCTGTATTATGTTAAAAAAGTATGCTTACTATCAGAATTTAAGTGCAAAAGTTTACTACTTATTATAGACCTTTTTAAATAATGATAAAAAAAGTCAATATTACAGATTTCATTATTTTAGACATCGGGTTAACATTTTTTTATGTTGCCGTAGTCGAACATTTAGGGGTGTATAGATTTTGCCCTGTCCATCCATCTGTCGGTTTGTCTGTTTATCTGTTTGTCCGTAAACACTTTAAATGTAACCTTGTCCATAACTTTTGGGTCGGTGGAGCTATGGCTTTCATATTTCACAGCTTTATTCCTTATGAAAGACCTTTCCTTAGCATGGTACAACCAAATTTGACCTTTTGACCTTGAATTTTTGACCAATTTAAAAAAAAATCTAAACTTAGCCAAATCCATTGCTTTCGAATAGTTGGTGCTGGGGCTTTTCATGCTTTACTCGTGTATTTACCGTGACCTTTTATAGGATGCGATGTATACATGTGCATTTTGTTGACCTTTTGACCTTGTCCTTGATAATTTGATCCACTTAAAAATAACATTGACCATACCTTTTGAACCATTAGCACTAGGGCTTTAATATTTAACAGTTGTATTCCTTCAGAGAAAACCTTCCACTGGAAGATGAACTTTTGACCTTGTTGTTTTACTTGCATTTGAGAAATTTCAATTCTCGCCATAAGCTGCCATACGAGAGCATCAGTGTTTCACAAACACATCTTGGTTTAATATTTAGATTGTTATTTAAAAATAAACTCTTTCGCAGATTTTAATTTGAATTTAAGGTTCAATTTTTTAAAGTTTCATAGAAACTTGAAGGCAGCAAGCACAAACCAAAACAAAACATTTAGAAAACAACAACAAATGCCACTAATGATTCTTTTTGCAGATATGAAAAATATAGCAATAAAAATAAAATGCTTTGATAAATAAAGGGACACATTCTGGGAATAATAACTGCTGTAAATCTTCAAGAATTATTAGTTCCTATTCACAGAAAACCGTATTTGCTTCCTTTATCACCATCGTAAACATGTAAGGAGGCATTATTAGATAAACCATAGACCGTACCAGAAAGCATCCTTTTATCTTTATCCAATTGATTTAAATACTCCCAGTATAGTACCATTTCCTTGAAATGTGTCTTTACAATGGGGACTCACATATCATATTTCATGAAAAAAAAATTAAAAACATATCACATTACTCATACAATTGCATAAAAGTACTCATAATGTTTTCTTTTTTAGTTTTACTTGATGTTGTTACTTTTTTCTTGACAGGAAGGGAGTTCGTGCTACCGCCATTTTGATTCCTTTGTTAGGATTACAATTTCTTATTTTTATCAAGCGTCCAGAGGATAAAGATTCAATATTGTCTGAAATATATCATTACGTGCTGGCTATATTTGTGCCACTACAGGTACTAAACAATTTTATTTTTATGAATGAAAAAAAATTGCTTTTAGTAAAGAGATAGTACCTTTTTGAGGGTTATTTTCAGGAAATACGTGTATAGCTTATTTTTTCATGATTAAAATATAAAAAAACCTTGGGCTTGCTATGGACGGATGTGATAAGATTGTATATTTCTCTTTTCCAGGGTGCGTTCGTATCCATAATGTACTGTTTCTGCAATGGAGAGGTGCGTAAGTTAAAGAACTCGTATCAGCTCTCGACCATTAGTACATTTCGAATGAGCCGATTATTATCAAAGCGCGCAGGTGAATAAAGTGTTTATTCACACATAGAACGTGATGTCGTGGTGAAGCGTCTTTGTCACACTGACGTATTAACTTTAAAGCACATGTACATCCATGGTTCCTTTGGTGTATTAGTAGCTAGTAGTTTTATATTGTTACCAATCCATTTACTAATAATGAAAGAGGCGGATCATCATATTATCAAACAAAAAAAAGATCTTCGTCGCTTAGTCAGAAAGAAAGTGTTATAATATTATGATTCTCCTTTGTATTTAGTATTTATAACGCATTCCAAAATCAAAACAGAAAATCTTTTTTTCTGTTTTAAGCATATTGCCCTTAGGTATTGACAAAATTCAACAAATAACACAGTTTACAAGATATTTATTGGTGCGAATATTAAAAGTTTAAAGAACGCAAACCATCGTTTACATAGCTAGATTTTACGGAGTAAATTTCCTCCCAAAACCTATCACTGAAACAGTTTTCACTAACACATTACAATTTGAAAAAGGCAAAAATCTACAGGGTAAATTTCCTCTCAAAAATGACACTGATAGAGTTAACATGCAGTAGTCAATTCAAAAGCGACTGTCCATGATATTAAAAGATTTTACGGAGTAAATTTCCTCCCGAAAATTATCACTGATACAGTATTCACTACAAACAATTACAAATTGAAAATAGCAAAAATCTAGAGAGTAAATTTCCTCTCTAAATTCACATTGGTGCATTGTACATTCAGTATGTCAATGCCAAATCAACCACCCTTTACATAGCTAGATTTTACGGAGTAAATTTCCTCCCATAGAATTTCACTGATACAGTGTTCACTACTTTAATTACAGTTTGTTACTAACAAAAATCCAGAGAGTAAATTTCCTCTCTAAATTCACGTCGGTGGATTGTCCATTCAATATTTCAATGCCAAATCAACCATCGTTTACACAGCTAGATTTTACGGAGTAAATTTCCTCCCAAAGAATTTCACTGATACAGTTTTCTCTACTAACATTACAAATTAGTACTAACAAAAATCTAGAGAGTAAATTTCCTCTCTAAATTCACGTCGATGCATTGTACATTCAGTATTTCAAAGCCAAAGAAACCATCGTTTACATAATTACATTTTACGGAGTAAATTTCCTCCCAAAGAATATCACTGATACATTGTTCACCACTTTATTTCAAAATAGAAAAAAAACTCTTCAGGGTAAATTTCCTCTCAAAATGCACGTCAGTGCATTGTACATTCAGTATTTCAAAGCCAAATGAACCATCGTTTACACAGCTAGATTTTACGGAGTAAATTTCCTCCCAAAGACTATCACTGATATAGTGTACACAACTACATTTCATCTAGAGAGAACATTTCCTCTCAAAATGACATTCATACGGTAAACATACAGAAGTCAATTCAGAAGCGACTATGGTTTATATGACAAGACTTTACGGAGTAAATTTCCTCCCAAAAAATTTCACTGATAGAGTGTTCACTACTTACATTACAGTTTGTTATTAACAAAAATCTAGAGAGTAAATTTCCTCCCTAAATTCAAGTCGGTGTATTGTACATTCGGTATTTCAATGCCAAATCAACTATCGTTAACATAGCTGGATTTTACGGAGTAAATTTCCTCCCAAAGAATATCACTGATACATTGTTCACCACTACATTTCAACATAGAAAAAAAGTCTGCGGAGTAAATTTCCTCTCAAAATTCACGTCGGTGGATTGTACATTCAGTATTTCAATGCGAAATCAAACATCGTTTACACAGCTAGATTTTACGGAGTAAATTTCCTCCCAAAGAATATCACTGATATAGTGTACACAACTACATTACAATTCGAAAATAGCAAAGATCTAGAGAGGAAATTTCCTCTCAAAATGACATTCATGCAGTAAACATACAATAGTCAATTCAGAAGCGACTATTTTTTATATGACAAGACTTTACGGAGTAAATTTCCTCCCAAACAATTTCACTGATACAGTGTTCACTACTTACATTACCGTTTGTTAACAAAAATCTAGAGAGTAAATTTCCTCTCCAAATTCACGTCGGTGCATTGTACATTCAATATTTCAATGCCAAATCAATTATCGTTTACGCAGCTAGATTTTACAGAGTAAATTTCCTCCCAAAGACTATCACTGATATAGTGTTCACTACCACATTAAAAATTGAAAAAAGCAAAAATATACAGAGTAAATTTCCTCTAAAAATGACACTGATACAGTAAGCAAATAGTAGTCAAATCAGATGCAACTATCCTTGATATAACAATATTTTACGGAGTAAATTTCCTCCCAAAGAAAATCACCGATACAGTATTCACTACAACAATTACAATTTGAAAATAGCAAAAATTTACAGAGTAAATTTCCTCTCTAAACACACATTGGTGCATTGTACATTCAGTATTTCAAAGCCAAAGCAACCATCATTAACCATGTTTACATACTAGATTTTACATTCATTATTGGCAGATAGAAAATAAACATCTAAAAAAATTGATACAATATACACTTTCAACAGGAAAAAAACATACCTTTTACATCTTATTCAATAATTGACTTTCGAGGGATATTTTTATCTCAATATACTAATGATGAAATACATTATTATTAAATCTATAAATAAACAACAAAGAATCTATACAAACACATACAGTTTTTTTGACTGATTTCAAGGCGTATTCAACGAGGGGAGGGGGTTCAATACGCATACAGTAGCATGGTGACGTCACAAACAATATCTCAAAGTACGTTGAAAACTGTATTGTCCAGTCTATATCCGCGAAGAAAAAAGGTGAAGGAGGCAAGTCCCTCTCTTGATTATTGTCGAACAGTTTGATTTCAAACACATCTATCACATTTACTTTCTTTGACCGAAGCGATACTTCTATGCTTTTCTTAAGGCTGATGCCATTGAACACTTGCTGAATGCATTTCAAAGATGTCCAAAGGAAATTTGGCCGCCATATTTTTAACAAATCCATTGTTGACCTATGGATAAAAATTTTAAACTCGTAAATCATTTCATATAATAATTTTTAAACTTTCAATTTTTCAAATCCCATGGGCATTTATTTCTTCAGGCACGCCGGAATACATGTTGCGCACCACAGTCGAGCAGTGTTGCTTGTACAATTTTTGTAAAATCGAAAAATAGTTTTTCCGTTGGTTTTACGTATGGAAAATTCATTCATCTAAAGAACACGTATATATACCCCAGTCTACACACACATTTAGACAAACTAAGACAAGATAATTTTTTTTAGGATGATGTAAATTTTCTCATATAAATCCAGATCATATACTACTTATTTTATGTTTAAAGAAAATTTTATAATGGAAAAATATATGTAAATTAAATCTCATGAAATAAGAAACGCCATTTGCAGATTTAGAATAAGAGCTGATGACCTAAAATTGAAAAAGGCAGATATGAATCTGACAAAAGAATGCTGGTCAAAGAATCCCCTTAGATAGAAACAAAAGAATATGTTTAATGTGTAACCAAAACAATATAGAAGATGAATATAATTTTCTTACTGAATGCCCATTAGAAACTGAGGAGAGGGATAATTTTTTTCGTGATTTCTCATTACTAAACATAAATTTCATATTATTATCAAAAGGAGACAAATTTCTCTGGTTAATGTCTAATGAAGATAATCTAATTATTACAAAGCTAAGTGAATATTTTGTCAAAGCCTTCAAAATTAGGCATAATGCCATGAGTTTTCATAAATGATGTTATAGACACATATTTATTTGTAAACTGGTTTATATGTATATTGATAATATTGATTTTGATTGCATGTTAATTAACAATTTGATAACCCCAACTGCTGCATCTACATGTCCAGTTACTTGTAATATTATATCAGCTATATATATACATGTGTGTGTTTTGTGTGTTTATGTTTGTATATGTTTACTAACCTTTCTCTCAGAACTTTCTATCTTGTCATTGTAAGAACTTTTAAGCGCTTCTGGGCCCAAAATTGGAAATAAAATTATCTTATACGTTTGCATGAAACACGATTTTGAATGCAGATTAGTTTAGACAGGACATTTGCTACTAAAACACTAATCACTAACGCCAAAAGGGGAGTTTAGAGAGTTAAATGATAATATGCACATGCAGGTAGTTTTACTGCAAATAAAATGATCGCTAAAGTGTTTAGTATTTCACACAATAAAGAAAAACAACCGTCTTGACCAAGGATTTAAATCCTTATGGGACTAGTACTGTAGTTAACCGGGTAAGGATAGAATTGATATGCAAGACACTACCTCAATTACATTTATCGTAACATATATACATATATAATTATAAATTTACCTTTATTATTCAATGTTTGGTCTTGGTTTCCTATTTCTCCATTCATCAGAAAACAGTCACTTTTATATCTCCATTCGTCACTTAAACCACTCCTGAAATAATTTTGTTCACCTATTGAAGGGCGGTCTAACTTGGTTTTCTTTCTCTAACTTGCTTCGTGTTTCCTGCAACTTTGAAGTGGAGAAGCCACTGGGCACAATGCAAATATCCGATACCGCCAATTTCAAAACTGCCTTACACACAAATCCTCATGTGGGGATAATACACATGTAACCGGAAACGGAAAAATAAACTGTTTTCACACAGAACCTAAAATCAAATTCATTGTTTTCAAGATAAATGAATGATTTAGCGTCAATATGTTGTTGTGAGAGAAACTTGAGATGGTCTGTTTCTTATCATTTCATCATTTTCTTTTCCGGTGCGTGAATCCCCGCTGTTACATTTGTAATCAAACCCTTGTATTGGATAGAGCTGCGGCCATGTCATAATCTTCTGACCTAAATCACGCTGTTAGTTCCATATTTTTTCACCATCAAAATCTAAGCCCTAAAAAATCATAAGTCGCCTTAGCTATTTACATT